GATGGCTTTTGTAGGCAACGAGATAACCGTCCTCTTTAAACTAATGTGAGCAGTGATAAAACAATCTACATCTCAGACTGAAATAATTGGATATTTGGAGTACAAAAGGACACTGAATATTTTTCAAGTGTACTTCAACTCCTACATATTAAACAATCAATTGCAAATGAGTAGTTTACATCAATATTGCGATTTTTGCGCTATTCCCGAAAACACAATCGAGGAATTTTCCGAATCACAAACCACATAAATAATTCTGGTCTCAAACAGAAGCCAATTACACGTTTCATCTAACGAATTAGCAAGCACAGCTGTGGACCGTTCATCATAGTTGCTATCGTACACTCAGTCGCTCGGTTTGCCACGTGAACAATCTAGCCGTTTAAATCTACCCTGCCTTTGCCAGACGCATAGAACGTGACGACCCTGAACATGCAGACAATTCAACACACACGATCGGAAGGAAACCTTAAGCGCTCGGGCCTCTCTGGGAGTACCACCGATCTACGCAATGGAATGTGGCGACCAATCAAACGCCCATCTTACCGCAACCAGCTCGACAGTAGCTTTTGGAATTCCTTTATGCCATATAAATGTACAGATTGGAATGCAGTGTCGCAGTTACCAAGACAACATCCATCGCACATGTTCCAAGCTCATAGGAACTAGTTGATGTTACACAAGAGTAAACCTGATTCACTGTGATTCTGTTCAGTATGTACAGTCATCTCACCAGTAAAGATTGTAGATGAACTAAAGCATAAGTACGAAATACTGGTGGCAATTTTTGAACATTTGTCGAAAGCGGGACAGGGACTAAATCCCAGTCATTCCCATCCAGAAACGCATTAAAACTATGGAAGGAGATTAGGCAGCAACCTAAAAGGTCATCATCTGAGGCATTAAACACCAATACCACCAGTTGCTAAAATATGCCTGAAACAACTACCGCCAGTCCAATTACAAAGAGCACGGACTAGGTCTCGTTCATCCTCCAAACGGTTTCGAAAATGCAGAGTAGCTTGGACACTAGTGGTGGTTGGAACTTAGTTGCTGCTAAAGATCACCAATAACCTAGATCTTTGACCAATCCCACTGGACCCAGAGCGAAGAAAATAAGACGAAGCTGTAACCACACAATCTCCATTGGCTGTATACAGACCAGCTGGTCGATCGACTTCAAGCTGACTTGCACACAGCATACCAGCGGTAATCTGCATTAACGTTCCAGGACTGAGGTCAAATTCCTTTAAAAGAAAACAGCTCGATGATGTGAACTAGCGGAACTACATATGGGACATTATAGGTGTCCTAGCTAAGCCCGTCAATTTTACACGTGTTACCCGTCACCCAAACTCACAGCACTGCGGTTAACCAAGACTTCCACCAGATGAGTTGACTTCCGCCAACGAAGCAGAAGCTGCTCTGTTTATGAAAGCTCTCCTCCGGAGTAGGTCATACTTCATTTGCCTATTATAGATATTCCGTGGAGCGAGCGTAGAAAGGCGAAGCACTATTTGGACGAAAACCAGAAGGAATCTGTAGCCAGGACCTTCCCGGCACACGGTGTTCCCGAGACTCGAAATCATACTGAACGCGAAACGACCACACACGACCGGAAACAATGGAGAGAAATTCACGTGGTCTTCTTCTTGGAAAACGTCATACATAGCACAAACTATCTCCAGGCTGCGCCGATCGGTAAACTACAAGGGACGTGGCCCGAGGAGTGTGAAAATGTTCCTTCAATCTAGACACATGTCAGCGATTGTGCTGGAGGGATGGTATGCGGGGCGCCGCAGCCTTCCTTCCGAGCTCCAATTCAAAGCAGGATCTGTTAAGTAAACGCACGAGAGCAGCTGCCCAGTTGGACAACATTTCGACAGGAGTTTGGATAACTTCAATTAAGTAGGCAACGAAACTGACAAACACACTCCAAGGATTACATGCAAAAAGAGAACCAAAGCGTTAGTGTGGGATCCATGGATCCGACCAGATGAGTTTGTCCTCTCCGCATCTGAAAAACGATTCGTGACCGACCTGTCACCGATCGGCACAAGGTTTTACCCAAAACATTTATCCCACGATTCATTGCTAAATGCAACGAAACTTCCCTGTATGTACATCAATGCACAAGGATTCCGAAACAAGCTTGCCGAACTGCGGCTAAGTCAAGCAACATATGGCTGTGACCTTATAGTTGTTACGGAAACTTGGTTGCAATCAGAAATTGCCGACCCCCAGGTCGCGATACATGATATGTTCATTCTCCGAAACGATCGCCCAGGCAATGGCGTAATGTCATACTACAACAATGACCGGCAGTGCGAACCGGTGGTCAATCCGAAAATGCTGATCATAGACGCACGCTGGTGCAGTCAGCAACTGAGACGCAACGACACTTTCCTTTTGCCCCGTTGTTTATTGTCCCTCAATGTCCACCCCATAAATGGACTCTTGTCTGACATTATCCTTGGGAAGTATCCCACGAAGACGATGCAGCTCTCTTCGCATCTCCAACGACTTCGATAGTAAGGATTTGGAAATTCCAACATCCCCAAACGAGAACTTCAAGGCAGACCTGCAAGAATATACTGCAAGCATTGCGCAATTCAGCAAGCTCAGTTCACCCACCCGATTCAGAGCCGGAAATAAACCATCTGTGCTTGATTTAGTGCTAAGGAACGAAGCCCTTATGTTTGAGAAACCAAGGCTGGATAGTCCTGTGGGGCAGAGCTACCAAGTAACCATAGTTTACGACTTCGTGTGTTATGCGGAGTATCCACAAGAACATATTAACTTGTTTCGAACAATCATCCACTATGATCTATTGGCAGAAATTGTGGAAGATGCCAGCTATTACTTTCGGAGTACAGTTCCAAGTACTGTGCTTTATGGGATTTGACTGGAAATTTCAGTGCTCGGATTACGTCTGCATCGATCAACAAGCCCCTATCGTTCTGAAAGGGCACAAGTATTCATTCGGAGTAGAACCCATAAACACATGAATGCAAGAAAAGCAGCGTGGCATAGGCATAGAAACAACGCTAGCCCTGACAACTGGAGTAACTAGGTTGTGCATTGCAATCACTATACCACTCTTGTGCATGATGACAGATTGGCATATCAGCAGGGTCTAGCAGAACAGTGTTGTGTTAACGAAATCTTCTGTACATAAATGTAAACAGTCTCCGGAATGTGAAAAGTGGTGTTCCCCGCTATCACCGGATGGTTATGCTCAAAAGCCGCAGCTTTAATATGCCCCAATTTTTCGACGGGCTACCAGCATTTGTGACATACCTGCCCCATTCTTTCAGTTGCCAATAGTTACACATGTGACCTTTAGTTTAGCAACCATTTTAAGGAAGCTGATATCCCCCAGGGTTAACATTCTTCCGCCCAAAGCTCTGCAGATGACAGTTACGAGGACAGCTGAACCGTTAACTTGGTTAGCTGGACTCCCAAATCCGGTTAACTATCTCTCCAATCGTAACTTCACTTCCGTTTCACCCGCTGGCACACCTACCATTCGTTTGTGAAAGCACTGACGCTTTGGTAGGTAAAGCACCCGGATCCTTTCTTTACATCTTCAACCCACCTTGCTCCCCAACACTTAGCTTCGGTTTTCACTTGACCATATCTTGCTGGTGAATCAACCGACACATTGTCAACATGGATATGTTTGCCACTCAGGACTACTGTAACCTCGTAAACATATCACTGGCGTTCTGTTGGACCAATTCCCTGCATAATCAAACTCCTAGCGCAGTTAGCCAAACTACTAAAGGTTCGGCATTCTTGTTCACAGCCCACAACCCACACATCTTAAGTAATCCGAAATCCGTATTGCGCCTCCTAATTGCAAACAACATCTGCAATACAATAATAAGGTAGTCGCTTAAATATTTCCCTTTTTTACTGTGCAGTAATGTGGACTTATTTTCCCTGTTAGCCAGACCCATACTGTTATTCCTTATGCTGAGTCCAGAGATTTGGTTGCGAGACCCTCCCCACACTATATTATTCTCGATCCCACACATGTACATAATTCCCTAGGAAGTTTTCAGCCTCCATCGCACTAATACTTATTAATACTTGGTATTTCCCTCCTATTTACGTTGATCCGGACCACAACTCGTTCAACGGTACGATGAAATACTTGCTTCCGAAGAAAGTTGGATCTGCATAAGAATAAATTACAACTTGAATCCAATTCCACTCAATACGAATCTCCTCGCATCCGATAAACAATTTCAGTTTCAGAGAAAACTTGTACATAATGATCGGTCCAGGGTCTCTGGAACGTGTCTCACCTTTTTGAGAAATATACCTATTATTATTTTTTTTCAAAAGGTGCTTGGACGAACAGCATTTCCCTAACATGTGGAGGCAAGGCATCATTACCCCGATTTTAAAAATTGTTAGCCTTTCAGACCCCGCCAAATATCGCCCAGAGATTCTCCTCCCGGGGCTCTCATAGGTGATGGATTCGATCATAGCTGAGGTTGTAATGAGCTACTTCGAAAGGTCTAAAATCATAGCACAAGAACAACACGGATTCAGTCAGCATCAGTCATGTACTACAAATCTAATTATTGCCCGTAGCAGTTGGACCGAGATAGCCGACAGTGGGATCGGCATTGATGTCATCTACCTAGACGTTTCTAAAGCATTTGACCGCACTGTCCACCTCATCCTTCTCCAAGAGCTGCAAACATATGGAGTTGGGAACCCTAATCTTGGATGTATTTGAAACTTCTTTCTTTAGCGGCGCCTTTAGGTTCGGGATCGAGGTACATTTTCTGAAACAATTGGTGTGGAATGCTGTGTTAAGCAAGGGTCAGTGTTGGGGCCGCGGATATTCTTGTTTTTCATTAGCAAACTTTCGAGTGTTATCAAGTCAAATTTCCTGCTTTATGTCGATGACATCAAGATTTGGCAAGCAACCTACTGTCAGGAAATCACAATATATTGCAAGGAGACTTGGACCGTGACTTTGAATGACCAAAGGTAAATCTATTTCGGTTTGACATGGACAAGTGCAAAATCTTGCATGCCCGCCACAAGCCCACACACGCTTATAAGCTTAGATATGACATGCTTAGTACCGCCTCACAACAGCGAGACCTAGTGGTGGTGATGCAAGACGATCTTGTCTGTTCGCAGCGGTCCTTTCAAGTGTCCCAATCCGCGAACCAACATGTTGATAGGTTGCGCAGAGCAATCCAGGCTTGGCAACCATGGTTAAAACGCGACCTGATTGCACTGGAGACCACACAGCGACGGGCAACAACTAATGCGTAGGGGTTGTCCCACGCCATTCCATAGGCGACTGAAAGCACTGGAACTGTACAGCGAAATTTGTCGCCATCTACGGTATCACCCCATCCTGGCGTTCCAGAGTTTGAAAAACTCCGGTCGCGCTTGCCGCCACCTCCTGAAACTTAGTCACAACAAAGAACTGTGGGGTCATATATCAAACTTGCCATCCAATACAGTCGGCTTGAGTACTGCCGGACTTACTTTTTCCTTCTAGTTTTTCAACTGTGGAACGCTCTTCCGACTTTTGTCGTTTCCGCGCCAGCACTACTTATGCTACTAAAGGACTTGACGATGCTTTACAATATTTACATTAGTTTCTCTGATTTCTATTCATTGAGTGACGACAAGACGCAGATTAACATTGTGCTCACCAACCCTACGAAATCGGGGTAGACAGATATACCTATGTGTTAATGTGGATAATACCGTGAGTCCACAGTTGTGTTGTATACTTTGTGTAACCTAATTGATCTAACGTTATTCCCATAAACCATCCCACGAAATTTGTCAAGCCTTGGCTTTTTTATCCGTATTATACCATTGCCCCTTTTTTCCATTACACAAAATGATTAACGTTTGCTATTGACTTAACCGTTTTCTCGTTCTAGCGAATTTTGGTTCCGATGTTAAAGGCAACGGCGGTCGTATATTCCATGTTAGAGGCATAAAAGGCAATCTGCTCTGCATCTGGCGAATAACAGTCGACCCTGATAAAAGGGTGCAACTTTGGGTGAAAACATGTTTGGTAAGTTAAATAACTTCATTTTATTTACAAATAAAATTTAACAGTTGCACAAAAGCAACTCAACACACGACATTTCATATTGGCTGGATAATCTATGACAAACATCTCATTAAATTGGTTAATCTAAAAAGGATTCAATTTGTTTTTAGTTAATTATTTAGCATGCATAGTTGGTTATTTGGGTTGCTAGTTGATTTCGTCTGTAAATAATTTCAAATATATTGCAATATCGTTAGTGACGCTTATGACATTACACAATTAAGCACTACGTAAATTGGCCGCCACTTGAGGACGTTTCAAATGAAGCAGATAAGGAGAGTTAAGACAAATTCAGTTGATCCCATTGATGGATATTACACTGAAATCCATGTGATGACAGAATCACTTCTAGTTTGTTTCACCAGTTTTCTTACCTAATTTAAACAACGCAATTGGCTTACTTGTAAATCCCATTGGACATTTGTGCGGCCGAGACATTCTTGCATCACGTACTGGCAATATTGAATTGATTCTTAAAACGTACAGGCTACCTCCTACCACCGCAGTAATATTAATTTATGAACCTAACGCGCACCATTTGCTTCATAATATATCAATGTAAAGTATGCTTCAGTCGCCCTACCTGTGTCCGGTTGCAAATTGATATTCAACTTTTCGTAATCATCATAGGATAATGTTATATTTAAAATCATTAGCTATTTTAGCAGAATAACAATATTTGATATGCAGTTGGATTGTTTAACTGGTTCAATGAAATGCTCAGTCACAGTGCAGCAAATAATAAGAGGACAACTGACATCTCACAGTACGATAAATGTACACAATTTTCGGGTAGGAACAACATATGGTTACTGGAATCGGCGTGTCGCCGGGATGAAAAAACTGCAAACCACTGCCGGTTTCGAGCTAGTTTGATGATCTCAATTAGAGGTATTATTTATTTAAAAGCAGTGTCTTTTGAATGCCGACCGAAACCTATACTCATAAGTCAACAACTCACATCAGGAAACAATTGTCACAACGGTTAAAAAACGATTAATTCGGCATATTACTGTCAGTTTAGCTAAGTCGAATAAGCATGATGCAGGCAGGGAATTGTAGTTAATACATTTGCCGCGACTCATACTGCAAATTCCTACAGTAATAACAACTGATTGAACATGACTACGAGAGCAAATATGATGTAAAGAAAATGCAATAATGAAGTGGGGATTGTTATCAATCAAGACATAATGAACATTAACAACTAAATGCAGAAAACCGTATGCAGCAAAACTAATAACTGCGCGACAGCGCTCGCAGCGATAGCCTTGCTTCGGCATGATGATGCTGATGTCCACATGCTGTTAAGCGTAATAATAGTCAAGATTGGATGAATGTTAACCAACTTGCTTTTACCAATGAGGTTGGAACTTTACTTTTTCTCACTTTGTCTACAAAGATTAGCATATCAGCAACAAGTGGAGTTCGCGAAATATGCGTGTAGCCTGCGCGGAATCAGTACACTTCACTAACTGCTTCAACCATGCTTGATTTTTTCAAGTCGACAGAGTAAGTACTCAAACCCCGAGCCTTAGGGAAGTTGATCAAAATCGTTACTACTAAGCCACCGAGTCTCACCGGGCAGCACATGTCGTAACAGTTACAAATCTAGTTAATGGGCAATATTAAGGTACTGTGTACGTAATTGGATTGCGATGCGTAAGCTCAATGTCATTTTAACACCACAGATGTCCGTGATAGTGCCGGTGCATATTGTTTGTTGTCTATGCTTGTGCCGATGGGCGCTAAGATACCAGCTGTAAATTTAGGTGACGGATTATTTTGATTTCCTTCTTACTCTTATGAGGGTTTCATGAATTACATCATGCAGAAAATCATGTATCCAAAGGAGGCTAATTGTTCGCTAGGCACAGCCGTTATCCATATATTGTTTTTAATTAAGGCAGTGTGCTGACCCTGCATTAGCCATCAAAGTGATATTGTGCACTTCAGCAGTTAAAGTTCGAAACATTTTGAGTATTATGCTATATACGTAGTCATAAGTAGAATTTGGTTTGCAACCTAATACTACCTTACTATAATTCTACCCTAGTTCCTTCGCCCTGAGGCATGGATACGCGTATTGGATGGAAACACTTGCTCTGCTGATGAAATGCTCTTCATCCCCAGTGATGACAGGGAAGTTCGAACCTTCGAGTTTATCTCCACTTCAAATACAATAATGCTAGTTTCCGGCTCAATGTCTGCACAACCGGATGATTTGTTTAAGGCCGCATACACTATCAGTTAGTTTCAGATATACTTTTGCTATATTGCAAGTAAAATGCCTTTAATAGGGTAAGACTAGTAATCCGTTTTTTACAAATATGTTCAAGTCATTCACAACTTTCCATAGACAAAACATGATAACCATATTATTGCGTTTAACTTAAACTCCTCATACAAAATTAATCCAAACAAATATCATCCCCTACTGACAAAACTTGCTGAAGCAATTCATCTGTAACCTGCGTTCTCTAGTTTAGATTCTAACTTGTGTATGTCGCATGAATGGATCAATTATTAGTATATAGGTTAAGCAGTTACATATGGATACATAATAGCATAAGGAAACTAACACGTGGGCAGGTTCCGATATATCGGGCAAGTGCATAATCAATTTACGTAAGTCTTTACAGTGCAGTAAAAATATAATTTAGCACCAAGTGATATAAATAGCCATCACTTTTTCTTTGACAGATATATACTAAGCACCCAGAAGTGCATTGGACGTATATTTTGTCCTATCAGGTCTTAGCCGTTGTAATCATCCCTAATTCTCCATGAGGGTTATTTTTGTCATCCTTAACGTTCGGGCTTGTATATGAAACTCCAGGTATAACTGAGATGTGTGGCACTCATCGGGATCTAACTGCGAGCCGAAAGACAATGTGACATCCGTCATTCCGCAACAAGCTCATTTGCAACATGATACTGAAAACATGAACCCCATAGACACAACTTTCCCTGTTAGCCATCATAGTCTCATTGGCGTCTTAGTTCAAATGAGCAATTACTGACTTTTAGTGGGTTTAAAATAGTTTTGCTGCAAACTTATCTCAGTTTTAAGTTTCCTAGAGTAAGAACTCAAGGTAGCATGTAAAGCATTTATTTATTAGCACACGTGTCTTCTGTCACGAATGCAAACATGACCGCTTAAGCTTACACTATTCCAACTTGCCGAGTTAAATTGCAGATTAGTACTTATGTTCCTTTATAACCTGTTAGGATTAAAGTTTGTCAGGGAAACCACCCATTTTTCGTAATGCAACTCTATATGTAAACCTTGATCAGAATATCTGAGGTACTAATCACTAGGGTGCATTCCGAGTAAATCTCCGTTGGTCTCGGGCTCTAAAACTTGGCGAATTACGTGAACAAAGTGCTTTACATGATAAAGAGAACCTTTGGTGATAATTGACTTGTCAATTTTTAAGAGCGACTTCATCGTGGTCTCATATATTTTGTGGAGGTTATTGAATGTGACAAAATCTTACTAATTAGACTGTTGGTTTCCAGAGACTTCTGACAGTTACACAGATTTTCGTCTGTACGAAAGCAATAAAGACAAGTGCAAGTATTGCGTTGCGTTCAGTAAACTAATTGTGGTGACCAGAAGAAAAGTATATTAAGGAGTGTAACTTTAATCTTTATGCTATTATAGAGTGGAATAAACAACCACTCAACGGAGCTAAGCCACACTATATAATGCATAGAACATTTGGCGAAGGAGGGTAAAGAGCGGTAATCAGTTAATTCAAATTGAACGCAGCCTTATGATTCTGCGTGTCATCTTATTCAAAAATATATTATACTGGTATCATAATAACAAGTTATGAGTAAAATAAATCCAACTAGGAATAGCCATCAATTTGATTTCAACGCTGCGTTCGTCGTGGGATGAATTTGCACAAAAAGATATCAACATGACAAGGGTTCCAAAAGTGTAGAATAGTTATTTATGGAATGTTTAAACAGTAGTCCGTCAGCAGGCCATAGTACAGTTTTTCTACTAGGATATTGCTATACCTCAAAGCAAGTCGTTAAGAATTATAGGGAAAGATTGTACTTACGTTTTTAGGCATACAATTTGTGATGCTCAGCAACTCAAGGGGAACTAATCGGTTGCAAAATACTTTGTGGTCATTGGCTTTTTGGATCGTTAAATGATGTTATGGCACTGAACCTTTACTTTTATCACCGTTTCAGTCACTAACAACAACACCGAATGTAACAAGATAATTACCGGAACCAATAATGGAACCATACTTAGCTCCGCCTTTCCGCAAGAGTACAGAAGCAGCGCTTTCTGCAACTATGTCATACATGTCGCTAACAATTCGCAAATCAGCTTTGCAGTTACTCAAGCCGAAGTAAGTTAGTTCCCATATTACTCCAGCGCGGACATATCAAACAGTTAAAAAATAACTCAAGGAAAAGAAAACTAAAATCTGTAAAATAACAAATAAACCAATTTTTTACCTACCAGATTATTGAGAACTGTAATAATTAAATTTTAAATAAACGAGAACAATCTGTTGGCTCTGCACAAGTTTTACAAATTTGCTTCCTTTTAGCAATTCCGTAGTACACGTTACAGATAACTGGCAATACGGATGAGTGGCTTATGCGAAATACTACGTTACAAGCGTACCTCAAATAGTAATGCGGCAGCTTGGCAACCCAAGTACCCGATTCTGGGTTGTGCTGAATACTTTTCTGTAAGTACTCTTAATTTATTCTACCGGTTTTAAATAAACTTAAGCAAAATTAAGGCTTCTTCGAACAGGTTCGGAATATTTAACATTTTAGACAATGAAAAAATATTATCCATGTTGGCAGCACACGGCCATAAGCATAAAATTATTTCTGATTAACGCATATCGTGTTTGGCAAATGTTTCTACAACATTGTCAACAAGTTACGATTGCCAGAAATGCAATTTGCTAGGTGCAGATTGTTCCCAACTAAAGTACCAATAGCACAAATTTAATGAGATAAAACTGGATGAATTTCATGCATTTTTTATTTTACAATTGTGCGCCGTAATATCGCAAAGAGAGTGGTGTTACCCAACCTTCAGAATTTTACTGATAAATATTGAACATTGTTTTAAGTAACTTTGCTGAAATTCCATGGCACTTAAAAATAAAGACATGTTTACATTTGTTTGCGATATAGCCTCAGTCTTTGCTTGGTTTTTCTGATTTAGAGTTTGGCTTTAAACTTATCATGCGAATAACTAGTGGTTGCCGTCACTTCCGAAGGCAAACTTATCCGTCTGTCACTGCCTCAAGCTCCAATAAACTAAATACTTCATGTGCATTATTTGCGGGTGTTCGTCACCACCATTCATAAAACGATACATACTAACCTTTTATATTTCCATACAACCGTAGTGTTTCTACTTCTAGCTTGTTAGGTTGTACAAAGCTGCGTAACACAAGCTTGTATGAATTTTATGATCTTACCAGTCGGAGAAAATACCAGGAAAATTATGCGTTTTCCTTGTAAAAGTTTATTTAGATTTTAGCATAAAAAGTAAAACTAATGAACATACGCATACATTATCATTTCCTCGGCGAAATTTGAAAAATGGACTGGCAAAGAACATATTATTTCCAAAATGCAAACCAGAGCAGATATTAGAAAGCAAGCCCTAACACGTAATTTGCCTTAAATTTACTAGTCCAGTCTTAGATTGCTGCAAGTCCAATTTATGAATCAGATTCGAGTTGATTGATCAATTCCAAATCGAATGCCTTAATCTGCATACCCGTGTCATATAGCAATAGTGGGCTAGCGACATCGAATGGGGTGAAAAATTAGTATTTACCTGGAAAAACATTCTTCCATTGTAAAAATAGTTGTTAGGTAAATAATGGTTGGAAGGGACATGGTTACGGAAGTAAAACGAAGTTAACCTTCTTATTTTGTATTCAAGTATTACGGAATGGCGGAAAACGGTGGTAAATATAGACAGATTTTACAGCCGAATATGTTGGACCTAATGGGTCCTGCAGTAACGGCCCTTGTAAAAATGGTTTAACAAACAGGTTGCCATAGACATACTTATTTCGTGTGTTAGCAGAATCTACACATCCCTTTGATTGCTTTAACTGCACATACATGTCAATTCATACCAACCGGACTTAATTTCTCACTCATTTGTTATATAATAATCCAACTGATTTTCTGACATAACATCATTCGCCTTAAAAATGATCGTAGAGACTAGCGCCTGTTAAAATGCCTGACGCCTGTAGGTCAAAAATAGAAGTTGCGGTTAACAAGCTCGAAATCACCAGAAGTGGAAATTGGCTGAATTGCCTATGTAATAAAAAAAGGAAAAACAGCCACTTTCCATCGCGAGCCTATTACTCGCTACATAACGGCCCTAAGAATGATTTAATGCGACGATGGAATAGTTGCTGTTATAAACACCTGCACAAAACTAAATGGGATTTGGGACCGTTGATGAAAGCATTTGTAGGACTACCTCGGACAGAAGCAGATCCCCAGGGAGATGCTTCTACAGATAGGCGCATTAATTCAACTGAAATGTTTTCAATAACCACGTTCATCCTACTCTCAATTGCTCTGTCATAATAACACTTTTACCCAAGGGACCTTGCGAAATCCCAGTTTGGAACTGCTTTGGATAATTTAAACACACAACTACGCTTTGAACTTCTGCTACACCAGATTTTTTAGACCATATAATTGTACTGCAGCTTGCTCGCACAGTCGAGAAATTTACAGCTTATAGTTAGATATTTTACCTAACTTTGGATTATTCATGGTCATTTTAAACTAACCTGTTTAACCAGATCCACATAGGTATTTATGCTACGTTTATTTGTCAATTTAACTGCAGACCATGGGTTCTCTATCTTGTCCGTTAATCAAACAACAAAAGCATTGCATCAGCCATTTAAACTGGTGCTTCGCTGCTATACAACCATGATGACCGATGAACTAAAGAATAATAAGGGGTAGAGAGTGGGGGACTTACCTGGAAACCTTAATGCCCTAAGCAAACATTCAGGGTCAAAGCACCTACACCTTGTGTAGACAACATACCGTCACAAAAAGCTGGCCATTGTGCAAATATAGAGCGGCATCGGCGAGACCGCTACCTTGCGGCTTTCACTGCCACGCGTCATCAACAGCCATTACCCCGGAGATAACTCAGCACCAAACACACTTCAAACAAGCAATCCGATTAGGAGACGGCAGCAGACGCACCACTGGTGTCGGTTGCTAGCTATGTCCTGTAAGGTCTCGAGCCAAGCACAAGGGGAGTCACGTGGACTCCAGCGCAGGAGGCGAGGAGGACCAACGGCACCCAGTTTGGTAGTGCGTGACTTCATTTCCGCTGATTAGTCAACTTCTGTCCAATACGAGCTTTGCGCCACCCCATACTGTTACATTAAACAAGGCCCTCCTAGTTAAGCGGTGACCAGACATACTTAATTTCAGCTCGCATATCCCATTGAATACCAACAAAACAGATAACAAGGGAGTCCACGATTACCTCTACTTGCTTAGCTCAGTGGTAAGAAACATTTGGCAGATTATTGCAGCATTGCAAGCTTTCTGGCCAATGCTTTAACCAGAATGCATAGAAACTATGTATTAACCAATGTACACATCGTACTTAGGAGATTGAAGAGAACTTACATGTTGCGCAAAACCTAATATTTTCTGTAGCGTCATGCCTTTCCTTTTTGAAAATGCGCTCCACGCATCCTTGAAGTGTGAATATTCAACGTTTTAATGTAACTATAATGATGGCATTGTCAATAAGTGATTCAGCCGAAAGATATTTTTCAACTCTTTGGGATTACATTGGTTAGATTCCGTGGATCTTTCTCCCAAAACTAATGGTGCCCTACCAAAGTTCCGCAGTCACCAAATGCTTTGAAAGGAAAACCAGGAGCAAAAGTTGAAGCAATGGAATGTTATAAGTAACTTCCCTGGTATTCTGACTAAAACCTCCAACTTGTCGAGGATCACCCGGCATCCGAATGCCAAGCGTTACGGCGAATCCACGCTTCTAAAAATTTTACTTGACTCTCATTTCAATTATTTTTTAATTCAAGGAAGTGCTTTATGCACCCGGGGGTTGACATGCAGCTCTTTCACACACACATCTTCGATATTTCAAAAATAATACACAAAAAGTAATAAGCAGCAAAGACTGTACTATTGTTACAAGGGGAATTTGCTTGTAGGCTTTATCACAACTGAGGTCGGGTTGCATAAAAAGCGCGCCAAATAAGGTATTACGGAGGAGTGGTAAGCCCCTGTAAGGGAATAAATGAATCTGTACTTTTGTCTAGTTGATGAATTTGATATACAGTCAGACGGCGCACCATAAAGGGGTGACTTACATCAGCGAGTATTTTTGAAGCAAGACTTTTGCATGAACCGGAAATGAGTAGAGGTAATAATGATAGCAAAGGTCGGCTTTAGAATACGACTATAGCGCGACAGTTGTGTCAATTACCTATCTAGGATTTTGGAATGCTTCTATATAAAACCGAGGAATGTCACAGGGAAGCAATAATTCCAGGGAGATAAGACACAAGCAGTGATAAATCGCAGTGTTAGCGGGTAACAGAGGAAGATCGCAGACGAGCAGCGTAAAAGGCAGGGTACCTCACCTTTGTAACATCTTCATTCACATGGAGTGACCGTGATCGATCACGACTGAGTGTAACACCTAGATACGTCACAGACTCGGTGGAGTGCCACCGTTCATCATCTATGTGAACTTCATGGCGATCCATTAGAAGTTGCTGATAACGACGGTCATTTTGAAGTGAAAGAATGATGTCGTTGGATTTTAATGTATTTAGCTAAAAAATGTCAGGTTTGGACCATAATGCCAAATCGTCCAGATAGGTTTGTAACTTGAGTGAAGAGCCTGAGGTTGGACGCTAGATATCTTAGACCACGTTGTCTGCAAATTCCAGTGATATCACTTCATCAGGAGCGGGCAATAACACGATGTAATAGAACAAAGCTATGGCGACAATATGGTTCTTTGAAGAACTCCCGTGGTTGTGTTGAGTATCGAGGAACTTTTACCCTAACTCGAGTAAACTGGACACGTCCAAAGAAATAGTCCCTCCGTAAGTGAACAGTGGATGGTTAGATCCCGGTATTACATATGACCTTCAAAAGCTCACGGTTTACCTTGCTGAAGGCATTGCTATAGTCGAGAAAACCTACTAGTACGGAATTGACCTTATTGTCCAGTGATACCAGCGCTAAATGTACAAGATAGGCTAGTACGTCTTCAGTAGATCTGTTACGATAAACAAGTATAGGCGGATTATCTGAAAGGGTTTGGGTCGTCATTCTT